CCTCTCTCTCGCCTGCTCCGGACCGGCCGCGTGCGCGCATGCGCACTTGCCTCTCGCGGCCCTCACGCGCCTGCGCGCGCGTATGGGCTTCCCCGCCCGGAGCACACGCCCTTTACATAACGGGCCCACGTGCAGCGCCCTCACGTGCCACAACAGCGCCAGCCCAGCGTTGCTATTGGTGGGAAGGCGGAACGGCGCAAAGGACCTGTGCGACTGAGCAGCGCGAGAGTGTGCGCGCATGCGCACTTGCCTCTCGCGGCCCTCACGCGCCTGCGCGCGCGTATGGGCTTCCCCGCCCGGAGCACACGCCCTTTACATAACGGGCCCACGTGCAGCGCCCTCACGTGCCACAACAGCGCCAGCCCAGCGTTGCTATTGGTGGGAAGGCGGAACGGCGCAAAGGACCTGTGCGACTGAGCAGCGCGAGAGTGGAGCCTCGCCCGCAGATTCGATGTCAATAAGGAGCCGCCCAGCCAATCGGGGAGCGACGCTCTGCTTGGGCGGGGGACACGTGCGTGCTCTGCACGTGAGAGACAAGGTGGGGGCCGCTGCCTACAGCGCAGGAAAACAGGAGTGGGCGGGGCCGGGCCTGGCTTGGAGGCGGCTGCCGAGACAAAGGCGTGGGGAGAGGCCGGAAGAAGCCTTCGCTCCCTTGTTCCCATTAACCCGTTACCTACTTAAAGAGGCAAGGAGTGAACACGGGAAAGGGCTTTCAGGAAATAATGCACCCTAACTGCGACCCTGTACCTTTACCTTGCAGTTAGCATTGTCAATGCCACTGGACTGGGTCTTAATCTCATTCTACCCTATTTCACTTACAACTTTAGATGCAGACAGCATTTTTAATCCTCACTTCTTTTGCATTAGCTTCACAGCTGCTGGGGATCCAGATGTCTTTTAGTTGTTTAATGTCACACATTATTTTATCTGAGAAACATGGGTTCTGAAATGTCAGTGTTTCTGGACTGCCTCTATAGCTTAGTGTTCCTTTTGGCACAATCAGCAATGAGGGGTATCTGCCTTGTAAAGGGGTATAGTGACTAATAATGAGGAAAAGTAGCTGAGATAATGTCATTTATTGCTCCAACTTCTGTTGGTACAAGAGACAAGCTTTTGAGTTTAGAGCCTTTGTAAGTTGGTTCAATAAATGGCATTGCCTCTCTAATAATTTACAGGGGTTCTCATAACATATTTTTGGTACCCTTCAATTTTTTCTGGAGGCTGCTCTGACAGTTTTTCCTAAAATAATTAACTTTAGGAAAAACAAACATGTAGATACACCCATCTAAATCATTTTAATTCATGTAGTTTTTTTGTCAGTGTCAATTAAAATACGGGAAACCATTCCATTTGAGGTGGAAGCATTTGCGAATCCACCATGAATAGCAAGCTTCACATATACTGGGAACCCTGGCTCCCGGCCCCAGCAATGAACTCGCTGAGGCTCCTGAATTGACTGCGGTGGCTGGGAGCCACAGAGAACTCGCTGCAACAGCCAGGAGCCACGGGAAACTTACCGTGGCTCTTGGCAGTTGGGACGAACTCATGTGGCTAATGGGAGCCATGAGGAACACTGCAGCTCCTGGCCATGTCACTTCCCTTCCCTTCCCAAAGCCAGGCCAGGAGACCTGCAAATACGTGGAACTGCGAATAGCGAGAGTCTCCTCCTTTGTTGTACAATTGTATCTATACTGTCCCTAACAGAAACAGAAATCATATGCTTTGCAGGTTCTTGTCTATTGTTTATTTTGCTTCTTGGTAGCTAGTAAGTCTGATTCTGTGAAAAGTGATAGTTGTATGTGTTGTGTAAAGCCTCCGCTCAATATGGTATAATGTGAATGTAAATTTTGTAACCTTTGGAGCTCTGTAACCTTCGATTATGTGAAAAAGAGATAAGGAGGTTACTCACCTTCCTGTAACTGACGTTCTTCGAGATGAGCATCCCTGGGGGTGCTCCACATCAGGTGTTGATCATTCCAGCACTTCTTGACGGATTTTTCTAAGCAATATATTGGGGGCCGCGCATGTGCGGCACGTGCAAGTCTCCCCCAGTGCCATCGCGCATGCGCAGCCCCCTCCCTTCAGTTCCTTCTCTATCCGGAACCCGGCAAAGAATGTGCTATAGGTGTTATCATAAGGGCATTCCGAAGTAGAGGGGAGGAAGGAACGGGAGTGGAGCACCCCCAGGGACGCTCATCTTGAAGAACGTCAGTTACAGGAAGGTGAGTAACCTCCTTTTCTTCTTCGAGAGGCGTCCGTGGGAGCATTCCACATCAGGTGACTTCAAAGCAATATTTTCCTGTGGAGGTAGGAACTTTGGATCAGGTAAGTATTCCATTTGTAGTACAGCTTTCACTAGTTTGGTATGCTGGAGGGGTCCTGAAATGAGTACATTATGTTTTGCAAAAGTGTTTTCTAATGACCACGTGGCTGCTGCACATATGTCATTCAGTGGAATTTTTCCCAGGTGTGCGATGGACGTGGTGACTGCTCTTGTGGAGTGTGCCTGAATCAGAATTGGCGAAGGTAGGTTGTTTAGCGAATAACAAGTAGCAATGCATTCTGAGGTCCAATGTGACAATCTCTGTGATTAAATTTGTTTTCATTTACTATGATCTGCAATGGAGACGAAAAGTTGAGAAGAGAATCTGAAAGATTTTATTCTGTCGACGGAGAAGGAGAGAGCCCTTCTGACGTCTAAGTTGTACATCTGAGCTTCAAATGCATTGGTGTGGGGCTTTGGAAAAAATACTGGTAAATATATTGTCTGATTCAAGTGGAAAGGGGAGCGCACCTTGGGTAGGAATTTTGGATGAGATCACATTATGACCTTATCCTTAAAAAAAAAAATTGTGAAAGGTGGTTCTGCCATCAGGGCCGCCATCTCGCTCACTCTGTGGGCTGATGTTATTGTTACTAAGAATGCCGTTTTTAAGGATAAATGGCATAGGGAACATGTCGCCATGATAAATGGCATAGGAAGCATGTTGCTATGGGTTTGAATGGTGGTTTTGTGAGAGTTGTTAATACCAAGTATAAGTCCCAAGGCTCTTGAGGGGTATAGAGCCTGCAGACCTTTCAGAAATTGCTTGGTTATTGGGTGTGCGAAGACTGTGGTGTCTTCCACTGGTGCGTGGAAGGTTGTAATGGCTGCTAAGTGGACCCTGATAGAGCTGAGGTAGAGATGTGATTGTTTGAGGTGTAATAGATTTTCCAAGATAGCAGGGAATGGAGTGTCTTGCAGCCATATATTATGAGAGGTCGTCCAGTGAACAAATTGAGTCCATTTGCTCATTTATGTTTTTCTTGTTGCAGGTGGTCTGCTTTGTAACAGGACATCATGGACTTGTTGAGAGCATTGCAGTTCTATGCCCGTGAACCAGGTACCACTCCTTAAGATGGAGTGTGCGAAACTGAGGGTGAGGATACGTAATCCCTGGTTGATGCAGATTGTTGGGATTGTTCAGAAGCGTGATTGGTTGATGTAGTGCCAGCCTGTGTATGATGGGAAACCACGGTTGTCGGGGCCAGCAGGACGCGATGAGGATAATTTTTGCTTCATCCTTCAGAGCCTTTATGAGGACTCTGTTGAGGAGAGGAAATGGGTAAAGGCGTAATGCAGGGGTGCATTTCAAATTATAACAAGAGCATTCCCCATGTCCACCCTGGAGCAATAACTTGGGTGTTTTTTGTTGGTTGCAGTGGCAAATAAATCTATATCTGGGAAACCCTATTGATTGAATATGTCTCTGAGGAGTGCATAGCCGAGTTCCCATTCGTGTTCTTGTAGCAGGGTTCTGCTGAGGGCATCTGCCATGGAATTGAGGACCCCAAGAAGGTGCCAAGCAGATATACAACCGTATCGGGCTAGACACCAATTCCAAAGTGCTATAGCTACCGAGAGTAGAGTGTGTGAATGGGCGCTGCCTTGCCTGTTTTTATAGAACATGCATGGGTGCTGTCTGTATATATTTTTACATGGATCCCTGTGATCTTGAGTAGCAGTTCTTGGCATGCCAGACAAACTGCCCTGAGTTCAAGGGCATTGATATGGAGCATGCAGTCTGCCGGGGACCATAGGCCGTGTGCTGTGCGGTCTTCTGTATGGGCACCGCATCCCATAAGGATGCGTCTGTAGTGATAACTTCAGAGGGGTCTCAGGTTCGAAAAAGGATGCCTACGCACAGGTTGGGTGATTTTGTCCACCAGTGTAGGGATGCTTTCACTGGTTGTGGCAGTGTGAGCATTTTGGTCATAGGATGGACGTGTGGCTTGTATTTGAGTCAGAATCTCCCACTGAGAAAAGAATGCCCAGTACTCCCAATTTAGTTATCTCTGTTACAAGTGTTCACAACTCCCTTGTAAGAACTGGCATCACAAAGACGACCCAGCACCATTTGGCACCATAGATAAGAAAGAGAAATACGTGACCCCACGGGTATAAAGATGGGTCCAGCAGCACACTCACTCTGAGCATCAATCTACCATCTACCTGCTGGTCGGGTTAGGTAATTGCCTCCCAAGGTCCACGGGGACGCCCACCTCGTATTCATCTTTCTGAGGAATTGAGGGACCGATCCTAGCCTGACACGTTGGAATCGAGAGACGCAGAAGGGGGTAAAAATTGTACCCGTATGCGTCCTTTGGTTTTAGTGCATGCATAGAATAGAGCTCTTTAAAGATTAAGCTGTCACTTGGTACCATTACTTTATATCTCCTTTTTCCTTTGTAACCATTTTAAGCTCTGTATTTGCTAGCAATTAAGAAATAGAACAATAGCCATTGTAACCACATGCTTTATAAGCCCCTTTATTAAACCTGTAACTGTTTAAGCTTATAACTGATTCCTTCTGTTGCTGTTAACAGAACCAGACACAATCAAAAGAACTCCAGCCGGTCATAGGGGCAGACGCAGACAGAGCTGGGCGTTGGGTCCTGTCGCCTCCATGGGACAGACCCCCTGGGGCATCCATCAGCCTTCTTTAGGCTGCCTGCTGCGGAGGGACCTTCTGTCCTAGCAGCTAAAGACTCGGGTGTATAACACAAACACACACACACTACACACTGCCCTGACCATCTGCTGACAGGCTCCTAGTTGGTCCACCTCTTGTTGTAGTATGATTTCGTGAGAGGGGTCCCTGAAGAGGGATGGGGTAGGTGGTTGGGGTGGAGTGGGGGAGAGAAAGGGGATGGTGTAACCGAGGGAGATAGTTTGAATTACCCATTTATCAGTGGTAATAGCTACCCAACTTGATAGGAATGCTAATAAATGAAAATGGAAAGGGTTGGAACTAATCTCAAGCTCTGGTGCATATGGTGTAGTTTTATATCTCTTGACTGTTGTTTCAAATTTGCTTGTTGGATTGGGATGAGCAGTTGGGGTTATTAGTCTGAGGGCGACGTCCGTGTTGTCTGTTCCTCCCCCTCTGGTGGTATATGGGGCATGGTCTTGCCTCTGATACTGGTAAGTGAATTGTGGGTACCTAGGTCTCTGATATGGTTGGTACCTGTACCGTCTTGGTCTCGTCATAGGGGTTTGGATACTGAGTGACCGCAATATGGCTCTGGAATCCTTCATTGACTGGAGCAACTCATTGGTTCTTCGTCGAAAACAGCTTTTCTCCATCGAGTGGAAGATCTTCTACTGATGGTTGTACGTGGCTGGGAAAGGCAGAAGAGTAAAATCATGAGGTTCGTCTCATAGTGACAGCTGTTGCTGTAGTCCTCGTAGCTGTTTCTGCTGCATCAAGTGCAGCTTGCAGGGCTATTTGTGATATTATCTGGCCTTCTGAAACGAGAGCCTTAAACTGTGCCGTTTTGCTATCAGGGATGTCTTCAATAAAAATATTGAATTTTGTGTCATTCTTGAAGTCGTATTTACTGAGTAAGGCAGCGTAGTTCACCACCCTCATCTGAAGAGTGGCCGAGGCATAAACCTTCTTTCCGAAGGAGTCCAAATGTTTGTCCTTTTCAGATGGTGTGGAACAATTTTGTTGTTTGTTTCTCTGCTGCACAGCATCTACTATGGGGGAATTGGGTGGAGGATGTGAAAAGAGAAATTGGGAACCCTTGGGGGGAACACTGTTTTCGATCAGCTTTCCTGCATGTTGGTGGGATGGATGCAGGTGTTTACCATAGGATTTTTAGCAGGCTCCAAGATGGCTGGGTTAATAGGGAGTGCAATTTTTGTTGCTGTGCTGGACTGGAGAATGTTAGCAAGTTCATGTTGAGAAACCCGATCTTCCTCCATAGATATATGCAAATCATTAGCAACTCTTTTAAATAAATCTTGGAAAGAGGAGAGATCGTCGGTGATAGGTGGCAGCATTGCCTCCTCCATGCCTGGGGCTGCATTTGAGTGTAATAGAGATACAGAAGTTGACATTGAAGAACAATGGCTTTCACTGTCATTTCCCCTCAGAGAGCTATGGGGTGACAGATTTAAGGGAGAGCAGGGCTTCGCCCTATACTTGGTCTTACATGGTCTTTTTCAATATTGTTGAAGGGGTTGATTAAACATTTGCCACTGTGGGGGGCAAAGCACAGGCAGTGGCATCCAAAAATAAGGAGCCATTTGAGCTCTGAGAAAATCTGGTTGTTGCTGATAAGCATATAATCTAGAACCCTCCCTAGAAAGCTGAGGTGAAAAAGCAGGCAAACACTCTTCCTCATCCCCTGATGGGGGGCAAGGAGGGGAAGTCAGAATTATCAGACAATGGAGATTGAGGATGTATGTTATCAGTCAGAATAGGGGAATGTAGAGTGGAGAAATTGCCAGGTCTTTGTGATCCTTGTAGCTAATGAGGGGCATATGCAGCATGGATAGCCCTGCTAACTATAAACAAACTGCCTGCACTGCTGAAGCAGCCTTCGCCTGAGGTTTTGCCCTTGGTAACGACCTCGTGAGGTGATTTGTGAGGAGATTCCTCGGTGCTCTGCCATGATGGGAGCTGGAAGAACTCCTACGGCCGGTGGGAGGGCAAGCGCTGACGAATCAGACAGCGCGGAATGTGAGGCAGGCACAGGAAGACATGTTGCCTCAGTGAGGGCAGACTTTTAAACATTTTTATTGCCCTTTTGGTGCTTGCCCAAAGTACCTGGGCCATCAAATGTGCTCAAGTGGTTATTGCCTGAGCGGTGTGACTTTTTTTCTTCAGCGTGCCACTTTAGGGGCTGCTGATTCACTGAGGTTGCCCTTGCCTTTAATGGCTTAGGGGACGTTTGTCTTTTTGATATTTCGCTCTGATCCACACCCGGGTTAGAGGTATGTTGTTTGCCCTTGTCAGTGAAGAGCATTTTGAGGTGCAGCTCTCTATGCTTGCGCATTCGCGTTTTTAGCTTAGCGCAGTGCTGGCAGTCTTGCTGAGATTGTGACTGCACCAGGCACTTTACACATTTATCGTGGCCATCAGAGACCGGCATTGAGTCCATGCAGAGCGCGCAGCGTTTGAAGCCGGGTGAACTCAGTAGTCAGAGATAGCAGTTCGAGATTGCAGACATCTTCTTCTTTTTTTTTTTAAACTATAACAAGTAATAGAACTAACAAGTAACACGAACTGTGGAGATAAACTCATTCTAAACAACTATTGAGGGGGAAAAAAACTATGAGGAGAAGTCTTTTGTGAGAGCAGTGAAGAGTTCTGTCTGAAGCCGGGGACGGCAGAAAGGAACTGAAGGGAGGGGGGGGCCGTGCATGCTCAGTAGCACTGGAGGAGGCACATGCGTGGCCCCCAATACACTGCTTAGAAAAATCCATCGAGAAGTACTGGGACACTCAACACCTTTTGTGGAGCACCCCCAAGGATGCCTCTCAAAGAAGAACAGAAGGATTCTTGTGATTCAGCATGGTCACACTGTTGCTCTTAGAAGTAATTTAGAATATAGATTGGGTTATAAAAAAAATATGATGAATGATTGAAAGTTTGTACAAACAGAAGCTTTGTATTGAAATAGATCGATAACTTTTATATGGACAATTGTATCCCTTTTCCCATGTGTGAAATAATTGTGTAGTTCCTTGGAAGGAGGAGTGAATAAGTTTGGAATGTGATTGTTTGGAGAGATAATTTGTAGGCCCAGCAGTTTCAGAGTCCAGATGGTGGATGACGGGGCTTGAAGACACAGAGGCATTAAGGTACCATGAATTGAGGCCCAAACAAAGTGGACCAATGCAGAACATTATAGACAGCCTTGGAGTGTTAAGAGCAAGCATCCCTTTACAAACAAGACAGCCTTGAAATAACACTGGTTATTTCATACCAACATAGTGATGTCAGAATAAAGAATAACTGCCTGATAAACAGATGTTAAACAGAACAGATGGTTATTATGAACCGATACAGCAAATGTATAGATTTGAATGGGAGAAAAGTCCTATAAAAGATGGGATGTCTTCCATAAATCTCCAGGTCTTGTCAAGGTCAGAGCATTGGTCCGGACCATGAGAAACCCCCACTCCTCCCCTCACATTTAACTCACCTGACCAAGTGAGTTAATGTGAGCAACACACTGGTAACTTTAAGCAAAAGCAAAACGGGGTTTGTTTGTTTGTATATGAGTGTATGGATGTATGTGTGTGATCAGATTCAATCCTTTTTCCATGTAATTCAATAGCGGCATTTAATAAAAGCAATATAAGTGTAACCTTGGGTTGCTCTTTAGTGAAAATAAGGTAACAGTACATTTGTTAGTATCACTTTTCACAGCAGCACACTTGTTAGCTAGCTTGGTCTGGGAGGCAGTGAAAAGTGAGATTAACAAACATAACTTTTCACAGCAGTCTCTCAGTCCTGGCAAGCCAGGTGACAAATTAAACCTTAAAATGTGAGGTGGGAGGAAGCAGAAGGACCTAGGGGTCATGAACCCAGAGCCCTGCAGCTGGGAAGTGGAGCCCAACTCAGCATGGCCAGAGCCTCCTGCCTGTCATCCCAGGACTGAAGCCAGAACTCTGAGCCATATGGCCTCTGGCAAGGTAGGGAACTCATACCAGTTGTCAGCTCTGTTGGCATTTGTGGCCCCTAAAGGGGACATGGTCCAATCTTTCCTGGCAACTCCATAGGAAGAGCCTGAACTTTGTGTTTTACCATCACTGTCTAGGAGGTTGTAGTCACAAGAAAAGGCCCTGATAGCCACATGTAGCTTAAAATGCTTCCATGGGATCAACTCAGCTATAACAACACTACAACGAATGATAATTAATAATGATTTTGGGGGTATTCTTTTATCTTTTCTTGTAGATAAACCACTCATTCAGTATAGCACCTTTCCATTCCTTGAATTTCTTCATGTGAGGCCAGCTTAAATTACTGAAGGTGAAAACTTCCACACAAATCCATGTTCTCCCCAAACAAATCCTTAGAAGTAGTGAACTTTTGGAAAGAAGCC